TTGGCTCACATGTGGGACACACCTGTGTGGGCACCGTCACGGACAGCGCCCCCCCACAGGAAGCCCCCTGGGGGCTCCTCAAGGAGAAGCACCTGAGTGTGTTTTGTCTGCTCAGCGCCCTCCGGCAGAGCTTTGTCTCCAACGTTCTGTAGCAATTTCTACTCACCACTCCTGTCCTCACCCCGCTTCAGAATGAATGTCTGCCTGTCCACATGTGTCAGTCAGAAACACAAGGTCCTGCCTCCCCTGGCCTTCCAGGCTGAGGGCGCTGTGTAGGGTGAGGAGCCAGCCTGTGGGGCCACGGATAACAGTGCAGAGCTCAGGCAAGGGGCAGAGTGGGGGTCTGGCCCAGCGGCTGAAGCTGCACTTGCCGGTCACACGAAGTTAAATCTCTTCTTCAAGTGAATCGTATTTGTTTCTGCAGCTGAAAAACACCTGCAATATCTCTGCCTCACAGGAAATGTACACGACACAGCTGGTTATGCCCAACTGGAAAACGTCAGTGCATGAGCGAGGAGAGGGTGCACAGTGCGCTGTTCTGCGGAGCGATACTTGAACACAGCTTGTTTCGGTCTCTTCTCCAGGCTGTGTATGGCCAGCATTGAAATGTTTCATCTTTCTGCTAATTCCTCTTTATCCAGATGTCAGGTGATCATTATATTTACCCTTAACATGTTTAAGAAAACAAGCTTCCGAGGGGAGTGAGGGCCACAATTCAGCATCTGATGAAGCCATCTGTACTGTTTATTAGTTACCACGTGGGAATATTTCTCTGGCCCAATATTTTTAGTCCCAATAGAGTGAAGCAGAATTACAATAACCATTTGCAAAGTTTTCCAAGAAACATGTCAAGAAACCAAGCTGCGGGACAGAACATGTAACATGATGACTTTTTTAAAAAAGCAGGAAGAAGAAATTGTGACAAATGAGCTCGCGCGGGACGGGGAAAGTCTAGAAGCGTACACAGAGGGGCGGGCAGGGACACCCCGCAGCCTGGGCCGGCGGGCGGCAGACCGAGCGTGCTTTTTCACCTCTACACGTCTCTGGGCAACAACCGTGTTTATATTTATGGTACTTTCCTATTAAAATAGACAATGGAAACAATTCCTTTTTAAGTATTTTCAAATTCATCTTGATTTTCTATTGCCTTCATAATGCTAATCTATCCCATTAGTTGGAAGGGTAAACTGGAAAATAACTTAGAGGCAGGGAATGGAACCTTTGAAAGGTAAGTCATATGTGAGGAGAGGAAGAAAGACAATGGGAGTTTTTTAAGAAGATGGAGAAAAAAACAGAACCAGCTCCATCTCTTTGACGTAAATTAAAAATGAAATTTGGGCACCTGTCCTTATGCCCCTCCAAAAATCTTCCAAGAACAAACACCGGAGAACAGGAGCCCTCTTCTCCAAGTGGGCGGAACGTGAGCCAGTGGGCCCAACCCAGCGGCCGGGGCAGAGGAAGTGCCGGCGGACGAGAACGCAGCCGGAGCCGGAACTGGCAACGGAAGGTGGAAGGAAGACCGACTCGGTCAGATTCCCGATTCTGGCAGCTTGAACAAGGAATCTTTTTTCTCCCTCATTCCTGGAACGTGAGGTCCAGCTAGAGGTCAGATTGCACAGGAGCCTATGAATTTCTTAATAAAGGGTTTGAAAAATGTGTCACTATTTCTCTTGCCCAAGTCTCCTCAATAGCTGAGATTAACAGTGCCTCTTGTCACCACTTGATGGCAACATCGGTGAACTTCAGGGGCAGTGACAGAAATTCACAGAAGGGGAAAACCCTCTCAGACCCCAAATGTTTGCACATCTCAGCCACTGCTTTCTCAGAGACCAGGCAGTGTTCTTGAGCACGCTCAGGAAGATGGAGAACATGGCTGCCTCCAGAAAAACTGTAATTTGTCCAGCTGCTGTAATTGGATTTTTACTCAAAGCCATATGTAGAGAATCACAGTGGAATGCACTTAAATTAGGTTAGAATATATTTGAAATGTCATTTGCAAAATTAGTTTGTAATACACAATATTCCTCTGACCTGCTGTTAAACAGATTTGGGATGATGTATTTCTAAGCAATTTTCCGTTCAAAGTTTTTAACTCTTATCATCCCCTCCAATTCTCCCTTTGGGCACCTTGGCCAGGACACATATCTCCTCCTGCGTTTGAAAACAGAGTTTTTCCAAAAGAAACACGTTCAAACAACACATGGTGACTTAAAATATGTATACATATATGGTAATGACCTCACAAAACAGTCAGCTGTCATTGAGAAATCACTAGTCTCTTTAGCTTCAGAACAGACCAAGTTCATAGAAAGCACTAGTAGAAACACAAAATAGTACAAGATTAACATGAAGTTATTGCCCCCGCTCTTCCGCTCACACGCCACCCAGAATCTTCCATCCCAGGGTTAGCCTTCCCTTCCTCAGGCGACGACCGGGTGAGTCTGCCCGCAGGTGCGGGGGCCTGGACACCAGGTTCTCCCCGCGGGCGACTTTCTCAGGGTTCCGCGTAGCTCCGAGGAGGCTCGTGTTCTCGGGGAGATGGGGGTGAATGCGTTGGCACACCGCCCCCCGCCCTCTTGGTTGGGACACAGAACCTCACCCCATCGATGGGCCGATGGGACCGGTTCTCACAGTGAACATGAGACGACACATTGAGAAATGAGAAACCTGCTGCTTGTGTTTTCCTAACAACCATCACTGTCATTTCATTGTTAATGGTGCTCGTTATTCTCTTTCTGTCATTATTATTGTTTTCTGGAATCATCCATTTCAGGTTACCCCAGTAGTCTTCAAGTTCCCATTCAGCTTCATGAGTATTTATAACGAATGAGGCTTGATCATGGCTGCATGATGGTTTGAACGCCTCAAGTTCAACTTAGAATGAACTGGCTTCATGTCAGACACAATGTTATGTGAGGACTTGGTGTTAACGGACCTGTGGTGGCCAAGTCTGGGGTGGCGTGAGATGGACTGAGAGCCAGCTTGGGGGATACTCTCCTGGAGGACTTGGAGGTGGGTTTGTCCCCAGGTCCCCGAGGAGAAGGTGGCCCCGCACAGTGTCCGGGTGGCACAGCATGGCTGCGGTGTCATAGCCAGGAAGGGTCCGGATTCGCCCCAGAGCCGCGGAGCTGCAGTGTGCTCATGCCTCACTTTACCGGCGGTGGCGCTGTTGCTGCGGCTGACACCTGGATGGCCTTTGGTGACATGTGCGGCTCACGAGGCGTGTGCCCAGGTCCAATGTGTGTCTGCGGACTCCGCAGCCAGGAATCCCACCGTCCGTCCCGCCCACACCCCCACATAGGCAACAGCGCACCTGAGTAATCACTGCCCTTTGTGCAAGGTACTCAAGATAATGGCCAGACTCGTGACCAGCCTGTTTTTAACTCGGAAGTGTTCGCCTCAGGTTTCCCATCTAAGCACCTACTTTGGGGTAATTTAAATGTTTCTGGGTCCCTTGTGCATCAAACTGCACCATGCCCCCCACCCCCGAACTGTGAGCTCCGCGTGATGGAACCAGGCCTGGTGAGCACCAAGCCTGGCGCAGTGAGCGATGCTGCCACCCTTGCTGGCTGATGCCTCCTCATTTGATGGGGGGAGATGACCTCGTGGGAGACCTCAAAGCTGGTGGCATCTCTCTGGTCAAGCTGAAAGCAAATGCTTCTCCAAACCCAAAGCCACAGAACACCAGAACTGAAATCCACAGGCTGCCGCACACAGGCTGCGGGCATCAGCACCGTGAACTCCACAGCAGAGGCTGTGAGCGGGCGAGGGGGCGGGTGGGCGGAGCGGGCGGGGCTGTCTAAAGGCGCACAGGGACCTCGGGTGGCTGGGGAACAGGCCTGAACCTCACCCCTTTTCTGGACACTCACAGTGTCCTTCTCGCTCTGAGCCACAGACGGGGACTCTCTGAGCCTAGAGCTAGAAATCTGAAACCACTGCGTCTCCCACACTCTCCCCTGAGTCTCTGGGTGTGCCAGCCGGGCCTTCCTGCCTCTCCCTTCTCCTGGTGGCCATGTCCCTCCAGTCCCTGCCTCCGTGTCACCTGGCTTCTCTTCTGTCCCTCATTCCCTCTTCTTATGAGGACCCACGCTGATGTCCTCTTCTTAGAAAGGATCGAATTAAAATTTTATGTCACGGCTCTTAGAACCGCCCGCCTTGGAACAGGGCTGGTGGGAACCGTCCCTGAGGACGCTGTGCTGGGGTGCATTGGCAGTGGCCATGCTGGCCCGGGGGGACGGACTCGCTGACCTTGCCCAGCGCCAGCCCCTCCTTCCACCCAACAGACACTGTGTGGTGCCCGGTCTCCTGGGGACAGTCAGGATCTGTTCTCTGACCTGGCCCCTAAGTCCAGAGGTCTGCCAGGGTCTCAGTGGGGGTCTCGCCCTCCACTTCCTACTTTGACACCATCAAGAGGAGGCTGAGAACCCGTCCGGGGAAAGGGCTCTGACATCATCAAATCCGAGGGGCCCACGTCCAAAGTGCAGGCTTCCCTTCCACCCGGAGGACTAGGAGCTACAGGACACAGGCTGCAGCGCAGAGCGGCCCTGCCCCCCACCCCCCACCCCCACCCGCGCTGTGCACCTGCCCGCGGAGGGAGGTGCCCTGTGCTCTCAGGCCCAGCTCCCCCCCCCCCACCGTCGTGGTCCCAGGTCCCAGCAGAGCTAATCCCCACCCCACCCCCGCAGCCTGAGCACCCAAGACCTGCCACTGAACCCGCAGGGCGGTGGATTCCGACCAGCCGCCCGCGCCCAGGTCTTGGGTGGCTTGGCGGGCGGGGAGGTGGTCCGTCAAGAGACCCTTGTTGGGTGGTTTCAGAGGCAAGTCAGCGCGGCCGCCTTCCCGCCCGCCTTCCCGGCTGAGCTGCGCAGGGGGCGGGGGGCGGGAGTGTCCCCACGTGTCCCGGGCTGCACGTGGCGGGGCCACCCCAAGGTCGTCCCCTCGGTCCTCCCGGCTCCCACTGCGCTGGTGGGGGAAGGCGGGTGGGGCTCGGCGGTGTTTACCTGGAGCAGGAAGCCCGAAGGGGGCGGGGATGGGTGGGGTGCGCGCGGGCCGGAGCAGCGCGTCAGTCACCGCTGCGCGCCAGTAAGGACGAGCCTCCAGCCCGGCGCCCGAGTCCCTGACCCGGAAGGCGGCGCCGAAGGCCCCGGGGGACCCCGCGCGCGGGGCCCGGGCAGCAGGGAGGCGGCCTGGACCCCGCGCAGCCCTCGGCGAGGCAGCGGCGAGCACGACGCGGTGGGTGACTTTCCTGGGGGCGGCGGCGCTTTGTCTCTGCGCTCTGGGAGCGGGGCGCGGGTTCCGGAGCGCGGTGCTCAGGTGGCGGGGCAGGTGGGGACAGGTAGGGGCAGGTGGCGGCCCTGAGGCCTCCCTGCGCTGCATGGCGTGGCTGTAGACCCGGGTCTGGAATCCGCGGGTCTCCGGGCTGGTCTCGGGCGGGGTCGCCCAGGATCGCTTGGCCTGGGGTGGCAGGGTGGGAGGTGACCATGGCCAAAGTGATCGCTCTCGGAGTGTGGCCACGATGTTGGTGATGAGCTGGCAGGAAGGCTGGGTCCCTAGGAGCTTAAAGTGCTAATTCTTCCCCTAGAGTGGAGGGGACCACCTTCTTCCCTACACCCCGGCTCCCAGGAGGCGGCCACGAGCGACTGGCCTGGCTTCCGCCCTTGCCGGGCCAGCCTGGGCTTGGCCACTGCACCTGTGCCCACCTGCGCCCACCTGCTCTCGGCACTGGCTCAGCCCCTCCTGGGCAGGAAGTCTCCTGGGGCCCATGGCCTGGGGGGGGAGCCCAAAGGTGTGGTGGGTCTGCAGCCATCGCTGCAGCCCAGGCGGCTCCAGGTCTGGGGGGCTGCCGGGGCAGCGCCTTGTGTCCCTGAGGGTCTCCCCCCTTCTCGCTGTGGGCACGGCGGGGAGCGGGGCTCGTTAAAAGGGTTGGTTTCTTTGGGGATCTCAGTGGGACGCTGGCAGGAAATGGGCGCGCTCTGGTTCCTGGTTCTCTGTGCGGCAGTTGCCTCGATGTGAGTGAGAATCAACACCATGTGATCCCCTCTCTCCTCGCGGCGGAAGTCACTGGCACAGCTGCTTGTGTGGGGGTGTGTGTGTCGGGGGGGGGGCTGTGACACCCTCACAGGCTGCAAAGTGTTTCAAGGGAAGCGGACTTTGCCAGCGTGGGGGAAGGGGGCTCCTGTTAGGACCTGCGGTTTGGGGAGAAGGTTATAGCCTGCCAAGGTCAGGGAGACATTTTACAGACCAGTGGCCCAAAGGTCAGGGCCACCCTGTCTGGGCTCAGTCCCCGGCCCACAGCACAGGCTCTCTGGCAGCCACCTTTGAGCGAGTGGGCCCCAGCATACAGAGCCAGCGTGGGGGGGGCGCGGCTGGGAAGAGACAGCTCTTCCGGAAGGACCAGCCAACCCCCCACCCCAGGAGGAGGCCCACCTAAGTGAGAGCTATGTCTCTACCTGGCGGTCGAGGGAGGCCGTCCATCACTCGTTTTATGTCAAGTGGCTAAACCGGAACCCGCAGCGAGCGATCCATAAACCTTGTCCAGAACTGTTGATTCGCAGGAACCCCCAGGGGCTTAGCTGTTCTGCAGTGACTACTTTTTTTAACTCGGCGTTAAACAAAAGCTGTTTTGTTTCAGTGCACTTTGAAAGTCTTTCTGAGGTGTCACCTCTCTGCCCAGAGATCAGGAAGTGCAGGGCAATGCTTTGCCCTGTGGTGGGACACTGAGCTCTGCTGCCACCTCTGTGTGGGACGTCGGGCCTCACGGTTTGGTGGCTGAAAAGCCCTTCTCGTAAATGTCCCATTTCTGCCTGAATTTTTTTAACTACTCCTCGAAGGTTAGTGTGTTTGCTTTTACATTCTCTCTAGATTCTTTAAAAATGTGGTGGACTGCCGGCAACTGTCTGGGCCTCCTCCCCACCCGCGCGTCCAGGTCGCACTTACTGCCCACTGACCACGCCGGGCTCTGCTCTGAGAGCCGCACGCCACCTTGCTCCCGTCCCGACAGCCTGGGACACTCGCCTTTCATGTAACTTCCCTCTCAGGCCCTCATTTCTGCTGATGAGGAAATCAGGGCCCAGAAACACCTGGACCCGCGAGGCTCAGTCCCAGGAGCTGGCCACCTGCCCCTGGTGGCTGCCCCACACAGCCTTGGGGGGCAGGACACAGTCCATCAACCTTATGCACCTGCCTCCCTCTTCCCCCTCCACTTAAAATTCCACCTCGAATGAGTTACCACTCCCGAAAACCTGCTTCCTCCTCGGAGTGAGTGATGCGGCCTCGCGGTGCAGTCACGTGCCTGTTAGTCATCCTCCACTCGCCCTCCTTAATTGTCAATAAAAGAGAAAAGAGAGTATTCTGATCACTTAGTGCCATTTTTAATAAGTAGCCACGAGGCAGTAAGGCAGTTCTGTGGGCCTGTTAGAGCCACGGAAGGAAGCGGACGGCAGTTGAAAGTGGCAGCGCCAGAGCCGGCATGAGCAGCACAGTGCGTGCAGCGAGGGGCCTTGTGTTCGGGGCAGGCAGAGACGCCACCAGCGGCTGGCCAGGTCAAAGACCTGGAGGAGCCAGGAGGAGGTGCCTGCCAGTGACTCCCTGCAAGGGACAGCTGGCCAGGGAGACAGGACCCGAAGCTGCAGCGCAGGGGGCCAGGAGGCGGCGGAGCTCCCAGCTGAGCTGCCTCCGGAGGCAGCCCCTCCTTCACGCTGCAGCCAGACGCTAACCTGTGTCTGCAGCTGCCGGGAAGGCCTCTGACTCGGTCACTGTTAACGACCCAAACCTGCGGATCTGAACGCTGCTCCTCCCTGGACTCCGGCCACCGCTGCTGGGTGGGAGGCTCTGTTATAAAAACTAGATGGATGCTCGGAGGGTGGGGACCGGCAGACATCGGTGGGGTCTCTGGAACATGTGAAAAATTCTAAAACTTGTCACATAAAACAAGCCACCCTGTAGGAAGCGACGTGAGTGAACAGGCTGGTCTGGGAGAGAAGCCTGGCAGGCCAGGAAAGCACACGGAGGTGTGCTGCCCATGTGTGTCACGACATCTCCCAGATGGCTGTTTATGTCCATCGTCCCTGCGGACGGCGCTGGCTCTGACTCACGGCACCGTGAGGGGAGGGTGGAGAGGAACGGACGCCGAGAACGAGCTGGGGAAGTGGGAGGCGGGAGTCTCTCTGACGCCGCGGCCTCCCCGCCCAGTGTGTCCTCCGGGGAGGAGGTGGTCTGTGTGTGCGGGGCAGTCACGGGGGCCATGCCAAAGTCTTTTTATTTTGAGATGATTGTGGGTTCGCGTGCAGCTGTGAGAAACAACACGAGAGACCTGCACGCCCCACGGAACACCCTGCAGGACTGTAGGAGGGAGTCGCAGCCGGGAATTGATGCTGACACACCCGGCAGCCTGCTTGAGGTCGCAGGTGTCACAAAGACACGTGCTGTCGCGTGTGTGGCTCTGTGAAATCCAACACACATGTGAATCATGTGGCCGCTCCAGTCACGTATGACCATTTTGTCGTGCTGCCCTTGAAAGCCACAGCCACCTCCCCCTTCTGTCCTCCTGTGGCCTTGGCACATGGTGACTGTGCTCGTAATTTTGTCACCGTGGGAACGCTGTACCAGTGAAATTACACAGGGTGCAACCGTTGTAGATGGGCTCTTTTCACTAAGCACACTCCTCCCGAGTGTGTCAGGAGCTTGTGCACTGTCACCGCTGAGCCAGTTCCCTGGTGCAAAGGGACCCCACCCTCACCATGCATGAGGCCCCGCGTTCAGAGTCCCCACATCCCTCCACAGCCTTGGGCTCTGTCCTGAGCGCCTCTGTCCCGTTCACCATCGCAGTGACTTCTGTCCCCTCTCTCCTTGTGTGTGTTCTGCTGCAGAGTGATCGGTTGTATTGATTTTTCCCCTGAGAACTAGCTTTTTGTTTCATTGATTTTTCTCCGCTGTTTTCCCAGTTTCAGTTTCATTGGTTTCTATTTTCTTCATTATTTCCTCCCTTCTACTGTCCTTGGACTTCTCTCTTCTCTTTTAGTTTCTCAAGTCAGAACTTAGATTATCGATTTGAGAACTTTTTTTTCTGATGTAATCACTTGGTGCTATAAATTTCTTCCCCAGCACAGCTGTAGCTATGCCCACGTATTTTAGTGAGTAAAGATTTGGATACGAAAAACCAGAGAGAAGCAGACAAATACCCCATGAGCAGGGTTATAGCTGTCGGAGGTCTGTCTGGGAGGTGTCCGGCCATGTGCCATGAAGAACAGACGCCTTTAGTGAAGACACAGGAAACACTGTACACAGGGAATGACGCCTCAGTCCCCCTTGAAGTGGGCACCTGGGGACCTCACACAGTTCTCCCAGTTGCCACCAGCTGCCCCATCATATTTTCCTGTATCTCATTGATACCTGACATCTCTTCCTTTTCAAAGGTGATTTTAGTTTGGGAAAAGCCAGAAGTCTCAGGGCACCAAATCTGGGCTGTAGTGGGGCTGAGTCACCTGGGTGAGTTGATGTTTCACCAAAAACTCCGCACGAGACGTGATGCGCGAGCAGGTGTGCTGTCCTGAGGAAGCTGCCAGTCACCAGTTGCCCGTAGCTGCGGCCTCTGAGTCATGTGAATAGTTTCTGTAGAGGAAGGTTCCAGCTCAATGCAGAAGTAGATGCACATTCCTTGCTCTACTCAGTCACTTTGAATGTGACGGCCACACGGTGCACACGCTCACTCAACAGTGTCTACCACCCCCACTGACTGGTACAGTGAAGTTGTCACTGTTCACACACGCACATTCCAGTGCCCTCTCCTGGGCTGCCAGGTCACATCGATGTCTCACAAACCGTTCTTGTCATGTTAACAATGGCTGGACTTTCTCTGGATGGACCTTACCTATATTATGGCGTAATCTCAGAAATTAGGTTAAATTATCTAGAACGTCAGGTATCAACAGAGGTCAGGTTCGAAGTAACAACATTGAATGGGAAAGATCAAGTTGCAAAAGAATAAATAAGGTATGATTCATGTAGCAAATACAGAAACCCAAGCAGGCGGGCCGTCCACCGGCCAGACATCACCGTGGCCAGTGGGCGCTGAGGGCCAGTGCGTTTCACAGCACAGAGCAGTCGCCCCAGTGACTCCTTCTGCATTTGAAGGGTTTCAGTACCTGCCAAGGAGAAGCAGCCTGTCGAGAAGAGCAGCCTCATTTCCTGTGAGAAATCTGTGGCTTCAGGCCTCAGACAAGCTCCCCTCTCCC